GCGTCTGTCCCTCCAGCATCTGCTCTGGCTCCATGGCGGACCCTGCAAGTCACAATCCCTGGAAACCAGTCTTGGAAAACAAGAAGAACCGTGAGTTACCCGGGAGATTTCAACATGAAGATGCCAGGATCCCAATCCTTCTTTTGAACCACCCCTTAGGGTAAATACAACACCTAGGATTAGAGGTAATTAAACAAAAAAGGCACTTAATGCATAAACCAGTGGCACGCAATTCCTGTGTTGGTGACTCGGAAGCTGCAAAGATTTATCACAAACATCATGAGACCAACAATGACCCTAAGAGATTTAGTCTTTTACTGCAAGACAGCACCCAGAACACAGATCAGGTATTGTGGGTTAACACTGGGTCATATCCACACCCTTACTTAGAAGGGATTGAGGAGTTCCAGTGACCCATAACTTAGATCAGCAAATGAAAAAGCACAGAGGTCAGCATCCTTAAGCATGTTGGGTGGTGACTGATGAACGTTATTGGGACCTGCCAGGTGGCAAAGGTGAAATGACTTATGATACAGAAACTGGCAATGACTTCAAGGTAGTAATGACTCCAGACACATCAGAAATTGTAATGCAGCTTCTGAATTTTTCCCAAATAGCTGAAAATGTTGACATTCAGGTGAACAAAGTTAAATAAAGGAGGTAGCTGCCTCATAAAATTCTTCTCTCCTCGCGTGATTACACTCTATTTTTTTTAAAAATATTTTTATTGATTTTTAGGAGACAGAGAGAGAGACAGCATGAGCAGGGGAGGGTCAGAGAGAGAGGGAGACACAGACTCTGAAATAGGCTCCAGGCTCTGAGCTGGCAGTCAGCACAGAGCCCGACGCGGGGCTCGAACCCACAAACCACGAGATCATGACCTAAGCGAAAGTCGGACGCTTAACCAACTAAGCCACCCAGGTGCCCCTATACTCTGCTATTTTAAACCTTTTCTGCAATGTGAACTCTCAAGTGTGGAATGAAGGCAGATGGCTGGCTAAAGGAATTGTGTCACTCAGCTCACTCATGAGGGCTTACTCTAGTGTGAATTCTGATTTTAATGAAACTGTATCTTTGGCCAAAGGATTACTCATGTTCTTTTTTTTTTTTTTAAATGCTATTCAGTATTGAGTTCAACATTTTCTTCTTTTTTTTTTTTAATATTTTTATTTATTTCTAGGAGAGAGAGAGAGACAGCATGAGCAGGGGAGGGTCAGAGAGAGAGGGAGACACAGACTCTGAAATAGGCTCCAGGCTCTGAGCTGGCAGTCAGCACAGAGCCCAACACGGGGCTCGAACCCACGAACCGCCGAGTTCATGACCTAAGCGAAAGTTGGACGCTTCACTGACTAAGCCACCCAGGTGCCCTGGATTACTCATGTTCTTTACATTTTGTCTTACCTCAGGATGCACTAACAACTTATCATGTACTAGATAGCTTGTAAACAACAGAAACTTATTTCTGGAGGTGGGTATCTGACATAACAGTCCCTAAGGGGTCTGGTTCTATGTCTGGTGAGGACCAGCTTCTTGATTTATAGATGATCTTCTCAAGGGGTCTTCATATGATCTATAGAGGAGGCAAGTTCTCTCATAACTCTTCTGAGGACAATAATTCCATTCATGAGGGCTTCACACTTGTGACCCATTCTAATTCAAATTACCTCCCAAAGACCTCACCTGATAATCCTATTGTGTTAGAGGATAGGAATTCAACACATGAATTTTAGTGAACATAAACATTCATTTCATAATCTCACTCATAAGGACTTGATCTACTGTGTACCTTCTGTTGTTGAATGAGCCTGGAGCTTTGGCTGAAAGATTTCCCACATTCACAGCACTCCTAAGGCCTTTGTCCAGCCTGAACTCTACAACGATAACTAAGGGCAGTATGACTGACAAAAGATTTCCCACATTCACTGCACTCATAAGGCCTTTCTCCTGGCTGAATTCTCCGGGGTTGAACAAATGTTGCTTTCCACTTAAAAGATTTCCCACATTCATGACACTTAAAAAGCTGTTCACCAGGGTGAAAGTTTACATGTACATTGAGGCTATTTTTTCAGATAAAGGGCTTTCCACAATCATTGCACTCATAAGGCCAACAAAGTACTTTTAAATGAAGGGATGCACATTGTTTTAGATGTAACACTGTTGTACACCTAACAGGCTACAGTATAGTGTAAACATTAATATGCACTGAAAAGCCAAAATGATTCATTTGACTTGCTTTATTGAGATATTTACTTTATTGTGGTGGCCTGGAACTGATGCACAGTGTCTCTAAGGTGTGTCAGGGGTTAATTTGAAAACTATTTCTACAGAGTTGACTAAATTAGAAAACTGGATAACTGGGGCGCCTGGGTGGCTCAGTCAGTTAAGCGTCTGACTTCGGCTCGGGTCATGATCTCATGGTTTGTGGATCTGAGACCCACGTCGCGCTCTGTGCTGACAGCTAGCTCAGAGCCTGGAGCCTGCTTCAGATTCTAGATCTCCCTCTCTCTCTGACCCTCCTCTGCTCATGCTGTCTCTCTCTCTCTCTCAGAAATAAATACAACATTAAAAAAAGAAAAAAAGAAAAGAAAACTGGGTAACTACTCTGAAGCTGAAAAAAATCCATCAATATATATATAGATTTTTTAAAGTTTATTTAAGACCGAGAGAGAGAAAGAGAAAGAGAGAGAGAGAGAGAGTATGAGCAGGGGAGGAGCAAAGAGAGAGGGAGAGAGAGAGAGAATTTCAAGCAGGCTCCGTACTGTCAGTGCAGAGCCTAGTGCAGGAATTGAACTCAGGAATGGTGAAATCATGATCTGAGCTGAAACCAAGAGTTGGATGCTTAATTGACTGAACCACCCAGGTGCCCCCTACTTGCTTTTTTAAAATGTTTATTTTTCTGAGAGTGCAAGTGGGGGAGGGGCAGAGAGAGGGGAACAGAGGATCCGAAGTGGGCTTTGCACTGACAATAGTGAGCCCAATGTGGGGCTCGTACTCAATGAAACTTGAGATCACGACCTGAGCTGAAGTTGGATGCTCAACCAACTGAGCCACCCAGGGGCCCTACCCATTGGGTAGGTATACATTTTTATATAGGTAGGTATATTTTTTTATATTTTAAAAGCAGATAGGGAAAAAGCAAAAGGTTAAAAATGATGTTACCATTTATATCTTTTCAGACCTCTGTCAGTGCGTGCACATATTTGGATATGTACCTATAATCTTCCATACACAGTGTGACATGGCATCTAGGTTAGGTCCTGGTGGGAAACATGGCACACTCAGGAGTGGTATGCTGGAAGACAGCTTTGTGACATGGTCACAAGCAAAGGTTTGGGAAGTTTAAAGAAAACAGAAAGGGATGGTGATGCATCCTGGAATCAGCAACTATAGGAAGTTATTGTGGCCTCTGGGCCTGAAGGGGTAAAGAGAGAGCACTAACTGGAACTTGAGAAGCTGTGGCTGTACAGAAGGCACTGTGACTGCTCAGTGCAAGCTGTGGCCTTCAGGACTGGAAAGCACCCATGGCCAAAATGTGGCCCAGCAGAGAAGGAAAATAAATATCCTGCCCTTTCTCTTCTCCTTCCTTCTAATCTCCCTTTGGTGACTTCCGAAGGCCAAACCCAACTAGAAGCCTTTGAGAAGGGTACCTGGTTGATGCAGCCCAGAGAAGCTGGCCTCCCAGGGCATAGAGCATGAGTGGAGAAGGGAAGAAAGTGAGAGAAGGGGAAAATAGAGAATGCCCAGCTTACATAAAGAGATTTAAATAACAATGAATATATATATATGTAGTCCTAGCTTGGCATGGTTCTGATACATACAGCTTTCAGGTACCATTGTTTGGTTAAATTAGACCTGACTTCTAACAATTGGTTCAAATTCCAGTTATCATGGTATATTAACATGGTAATTCCAGTTATCATGGTGAGTAACTGCATAAAATACAAACTTTACTGCTAGCTCTCCAGTCCACATATCACTCCACAAATAACAGATATTCATCATGGTCAGTGACCGATCATATCACTTCTTGCAAAGTCTGTCAGTGATTGGTCACTGCACACATTATTCAGTTCATATAGACAACGAAGTATGTATAGACAACAAAGTATGTAGCTGTGTTTCCTTCTTGTCTCCACCTAATGAACTCATGTGACATTTTACAAAGACAGATTATTGAAAGAGGAATTGGCCAAGAAAGATGAAAGTAATGCAAAGAAACAAAGAACTCTGTAAGTGAAATCTGAATCGAATGTACATGGAGTTCTGGAAAAAACAGCTGGCTGGGGGTGCGTGGGTGGCTCAGTTGGTTAAGTGTTTGGCTTCAGCTCAGGTCATGTTTGTGAGCTCAAACCCCTTGTTGGGCTCTGAGCTGACAGCCCAGAGCCTGCAGCCTGCTTCGGATTCGGTCTCCCTCGCTCTCTGGCCTTCCATCACTCACACTCTGTATCTCTCTCTAAACATCAAAAAAACCCAAAAAACCGCTGAAGAAACAATAGGAAGGAAGAGTAACAAGAATTTTAACTTACATTCTTAAAAGTTTATTTATTTTTGAGGGGTGCCTGGATGGCTCAGTCAGTTAAGCGTCTGACTCTTGACGTTGGCAACCGAGCTGCATGTCAGGCTCTGTGCTAATGGCACAGAGACTGCTTGCAATTCTCTCTCTCCTTGTGCCCGTACCCTGCTCATGCTCTTTCTCTCTCACAAAAAAAAAAATAAATGTAAAAAAAAAAAAAAAAAAAAGAAATGGAAAATTCTGCAATATTTTTAAATCTATATGAAATAGGCTATTAAGGAGCCCAAGCTTTCAGTTTTAAGAATGCTATCCTCTTATATCCATCTGAACTTGTATCTTGATATGAATACATGTTGTGAATATATCAGCGTTCATTTGTTTTTAGGCATTTATAGAAAACAGTTGTATACTTTTTCTCTTCCCAAATTATAAATACCAAGAACCAATTACAAATTCAGAGTGCCATGAAATTACACAAAGACAAATGTAACCAGCTTTAAAATTTTATTGAAATTCAATTTAGAAGTTAATAATTTAATATAGCATTATTTTGAATATTTTCTAACCAGTTCACCTGCTTTACATGATTTTTGGGCACAACTTTAAAGATTTGATACTTTCTGCTTAACTTTCCATGATATGTCAATTATACATTCATTAAAATCTCAGATAGTTCCCTAAAACTGTTCTTTTGTCAATGTCAGAATTTAAAAAAATAAGCTCAAATATTGAAAATTTAAGACATTAATATAGCCACTGTAATATAGAAAAGAAAAAAAAATACCTTACACAATCTGACTGTTTAAAATTGTTAACATTTATTGTAATAATGCAATATGAATTTTTAACATAACCATATGAATTTTTCATTAAAATGTTCAACCATTTCCTACTGAAGCATGTCCAAAGTTATAAAAATCTTCTCCTTTAAAGTAATCTATACTGAATTAATCCAAAGTAACTGTGGCACTTTACATAAGACATTTACTCCACTGTATATTTTAAGTAGCTAAGGGAAAGCCTGATCAATAGCAGGTTACTGGAAAGAATAAAAACTGCATGGTTTTCTTCAAGGAGTGAGTCGTTTGGGATCACGGGGGAACATTGAGGTCTGGCGAACATTATGCAATCCCAAGAAAAGCATAGTGACTCGTTCCAATCCTAGGGGAAAAAAACCCATTAATTCCTTTTCTGAAAACCTTTCAGTGTCTTACTTGATGAAACTGCCAACATAGTATCATTGATCAACAAAATACTTCTTTTATTTTGAGTTTATTTAAAATGAAGGGTTTTGGGTCTGACACAGAAATGATGCTGTATGTGGGAAGGACTAAATGAGATATCCTTAAGTTGTGTGGATTCTGCTAAGTACAAAAATCTTGTAAATATCCAAAACTTATGATTTAAACAAACATAAAAAAGCCATTTTATAAGCCTATATTGTTTTTAAATGAGACCAGAATCTTAATTATGTAGCCCAGGCCACCAGTATAAGATGAGGGCCATAAACTTGTTCACAGAAGTTTATTAATGGAAGTACCAGAAATTTACTATAATTCAATAGCTGTGTAACATGGTGGTTCCTAGTATAAAAGACTCTAGGATACATTATTGTAAATGTTCTGAGTACAGAAAAGACCGATTTTGAAATGTGACTTAAATACTGTATTGCTGTCAAGAATTAAGACCGAGTACCACCTAAGAAACTGAGAACTAGCAAATGAAACTTTGTGTAATTTAGTTATTTCACCAAAGTTGTAGAAGACATGGATTATAGAAAAAAGGCAAAGAACATATTTATATAGCCATAATTTTTAATTTTAAAGGAAGGTATTTAACTTTTTAAAAAAAGTTTTTATTTAGGTAATCTCTACCCAATGTGGGGCTGGAACTCATGACCCCAAGGTCTAGAGTCGCAGGCTCTTTCAACTGAGCCACCCAGGTGCCCCCAAGAATGTATTTAACTTCTAAAACAGATATAAATAAGATAATTAACATTTTTTCAAATGTTTACTTATTTTTGAAAGAGAAAAGAGCACACGAGCAAGTGGGAGGGAGGCAAAGAGAGAGGAGAGAATCCCAAACAAGCTCCATGCTGTCAGTGCAGAGCTTGATGGCATCATGACTTGAGCTGAAATCAAGAGTCAGAGAGTAAACCAACTGAGCCACCAGGCACCTCTGAGAATTAATTTTTTTATTGCTATCCCTTACCAAAAAATCTGCAGAAGTAAATTTGAACTTTGTATTAAAGTAATCTAATACTAATCTAATACCCACCACTATATCCCACTTTACCTTCAATCATTAATTACCAAAAAACAAGTATTTGACTTCCACTGTCAGTAACAAAAATATGTGAATTAAACAAAATGCACAAAATTCACAAACAGTTGTGAATTTCCCATTAAAACTTAAATTCTAGGGGTGCATGGGTGGCTCAGTTGGTTAAACATCTGACTTCAGCTCAAGTCAAGATCTCATGGTTTATGAATTTGAGCCCTGTGTTAGGCTCTGTCCTGACAACTCAGAGCCTGGAGCCTGCTTCAAATTCTGTGTCTCCCTCTTTCTCTGCCCCTCCCCTGCTCACACTCTGTCTCTCTTTCTCTCAAAAATAAATAAATCAAACAAACGGACAAAACTAAACTCTATATCCAATGTAGCACTGTAATAACAAAAGACTAGTATCAACCTACATGTCCATCAATAAGAAGCTGGTTAACAAAATTATGATGTACCCTTTCAAAGGGTTGATTCTATGTAGCATTAAAAAAATACTGAAAATGTCTTTAAGTACTGATAAGGAACAAATGAGAAAATACAGTAAGTGACAAATGCAAGGTATTGAATGATTTATATAGTATGCTATAATTTGTGTAAAAAAATATTTTTAAAAGTGTCTATTTTTGCATATGCAAAGATTATCTCTTCAAAGGTAAAAAGAAAACTAGAAACAATAGTTTCCTATAGGGCGGTGAATACATACTCTTCTATACCCTTTTAATTTGAAACATTTTAAAGTACTATATTACTTATTCACCAACCTCCCACCCCCCAACCAAAACAAACATCAAACAAAAATTTCAAGGAAACTATACATTCAGAATTCTTTTAAGAGTCTCTGATAGGGTCTTCTAGGGGGTGCCTGGGTAGCTCAGTTGGTTGAGATCTGACTTGATTTCGGCTCATGATCTCACAGTACTTGAGATGGAGCCCTGGGTTGGTCTCTGTGCTGACAGCATGGAGCCTGCTTGGGATTCTCCCTCCCTCCCTCTCTCTCTCTCTCTCAAAATAAATAAACAAACATTAAAAAAGGTCTCTGATAGGGACATCCAAAAATTTAGCTAAATTTTAATTTATTCTTTTATTTTTAAAAGATTTATTTTTTTATAAGTTTATTCATTTTGAGAGAGAGAGAGAGAGAGACAGAGCGAGTGTGTGCTCATGTGGGAAGGGGCAGAGAGAGAGGGCGAGAGAATCCCAAGAGAATCTGTCAGTGCAGAGACTGACATGGGGCTCAAATTCAAGAACCATGAGATCGTGACCTGAACCAAAGTCAAGAGTCGAACACTTAACTGACTGAGCCATCCAGGTGCCCTGATTTCTTTATTTTTTAAAAAGTAATCTGTACACCCACTGTTGGACTTGAACTCACAACCCTGACATCAAGAGTTGCATGCTCCTGTGACTGAGCCAGCCAGGTACCCCTTACCCTTTGTAAGTTACAGAGTGGTCTCTTACATTTACTCTAGAAGTGGTCCTAGAAGTCAATGAAATATTATTACATTACAACAAAAAATTTAGCAACAATCTGAGCTAACTTGAGGAAGAGCTTTAATTCGGGCTATTGTGAATGAACTCATAGATGCAGAGAAAAAATAGGGTACTCAATTTAAAACACATTTTGTGGGGCACCTGGCTGGCTCAGTTGGTTAAGCACCCAACTTCGACTCAGGCCATAATCTCACAGCTCGTGGGTTCAAGCCCCACATTGGGATCGGTGTTGACAGCTCAGAGCCTGGAGTCTGTGTCTCCCTCTCTCTCTGGCCCTCCCCCACTTATACTTTGTCTCTGTCTCTCTCTCAAGAATAAACATTTGAAAAAAATTAAAAAATAAAAGACATGTTGCTTCTAAACTCATCAGAAAAAAAATGACTAGAAATTTACTACAATAATGTAAAACACACAAATTAGCTGTTCATTTGGTTCCTTGGAAGTTAAATTTTCCTTTAGTCATAACTCACAAATTTGTTATAATTCATATTTGTACTATATTTAGCACTTATGGATCTATTTGTAAGTAATAACAATATATAAAAATACTTAAGAGTCTAATGCTGAAGAAATTTAGTTAGACCTGAACAAACACTCTGCCAAATGAAATCTGGGTTGGAAATATATTGTCAAAATATTACTTTTTTTTTTTTTTAATGTTTTATTTATTTCTTAGGAGAGAGAGAGAGAGACAGCACGAGCAGGGGAGGGTCAGAGAGAGAGGGAATCACAGACTGAAACAGGCTCCAGGCTCTGAGCTGGCAGTCAGCACAGAGCCCGATGCGGGGCTCGAACCTGCGAACCGCGAGATCATGACCTAAGCGAAAGTCGGACGCTTAACAGACTAAGCCACCCAGGTGCCCCTATATTGTCAAAATATTAAAATAATATTACCAATGCCTCCACCAGCATGAGGAGGGGCTCCAAAGCGGAAGGAATCAATGTATGCCTTAATTTTCTCCAAATCTAGGAAAAAAACAAAAAGAAATTCAAAAGCCAAACATAATTTATCATTTTATTTAGTAACTCAAAAAAAAGGTACAAAGCAATAATTATTATTCAATGAAGATGAAAACAAATGACTACGTTTCTGAGAAGTCTTTAAAAGGTTTAAAATGTGTTGCTTTCACAATATACATTACTCTCCCAAATATATTTAAGTTGTTTACCAATTCCATGATGTAAGGCTCTCTCCGTTAGCAGCTGAGGATCATGTATTCTCTGAGCTCCTGACAGTATTTCTTCTCCCCTCATGAACATATCATAAGAGTTGGACTGCTTCTGCAGGGAAAAGCAAACAAAAGAAAACACTACTTTTCTAATGGCTATCATTCTATTTCCATTACTCATATGAGGAAAAAAAATCTGTTGCTCAAAGAGCAAGGCCATTTTCCCATACAATTAATGATGCAATCTGCTCCAATGAACACAATTTGTTTCTCTAAAACAAGATTAAACTAGTGAGAGCTGAATAATAACTTCTTCCTTCCCTCTATCAGATATACTCCCCTTCTCCAATACCTTCCAATAACAAATCAGAGCACCATATCTAACTTGTAAGAAGTAGTGCTGATTCTCATTTCACTTTATCATCTGAAATGTTTTTAAGTATGATATAATTTTGAGTCATTTTTGGAACTTCAAATTATCAACAGGTGTAGTCTTTTTAATTTAGATTCTTAAAAATGTTGGGGCGCCTGGATGGCTTAGTCGGTTAAGCGTCTGACTTTCGCTTAGGTCAGGACCTCGCGGTTCGTGGGTTCGAGCCCCGTGTCGGGCTCTGTGCTGACTGCCAGCTCGAGTCTGGAGCCTGTTTCAGTCTATGACTCCCTCTCTCTCTGGCCCTCCCCTGCTCGTGCTGTCTCTCTCTCTGTCTCTCTCCTAGAAATAAATAAAATATTAAAAAAAAAAACGTTAACAAAAGTAAATTGAAAATCAGTTTACCATAGCTTAACCTATTCCCTTATTATGTTTTAACTTACTTTCCCTGTCTTTCAATAAACCAGTGGTTCTCAAAGTATGATTCCTGGACTAGTAGCCTCAGTATTACCCAGAACCTGTTAGAAATGCAAATTATTAAGCTCCTCCAAGACCAACTAATCAGAAAGTCTGGCGATGGGGCCCAGTCATTAGTGTTTTAAAAAGGCCCCCAAGTGATTCTGATGCACACTGAAGTTTGGAAAGCACTGTAATGGAAAAACAGTAAAAGGCCAAAAGATAACACAAATTAAATGAACTCCCAGGACAGAATGCTGTTTTTTAGTTCAAAGTCAATGATAATATGTACTATAGTCTGCAAACCTAATGATGCTATTTATTATTTATATGGCATTTCTTCCTCATAAATCTTTAAAAAATGAACCATGAAAATGATTTTTAATGTAGGTTTTGAGACTAATTTTCTAGAATACTCAAATTCCACAGTATCATTTTGACCTCAAATGACAGAAACTAGTAGTCATACATATAGTGGTCCATCAAAATTGCATATTACTGATGAAAACCATTATTCCCACTGTACAATTTAATAAACTCACAATAAAATTTCCCCCTTCCCCAATTGTTTAAAATAAAACTACTTACAGGATTTCTTGGGTCAGGCATGGTATAGAACGGTCTTACAGCCAATGGATATTTATCAAGAATATAAAAATCTGTATCATACTATAAAAAAATGATTAAAATAAATTAAAAAATTTTCAACCAAGGTAAAAAGAAGGCTAACATTTTGATAACTGTCTTTTAAAGAATAAATTTTGTTTTCAAAATTATCATAATGACACTGTATATACAATAAGTACTCTGTTTCTTTCAAGGAACATCTGTATCCTATAGTATTTTGCCACTATGTTATAAATTCCTCTAATAATTTTTGGCGGCTATTTACTGTTCAGTGATAGTTCAAATATTGTTTTCTTCTTCTTTTTTTTGGATAGGTAATCTCTTTCTAATTTCTTCCCACTTAAAATTATGCTGCAATAAACCTTTGATTTTCATTTCTTTCTTTTGGTAATCTAATTTCAGATACAATTTAACTTTTGTTAAATTATTCTAAATCTCTTTGGGTTTTACAGAAACTATATTAAATCTATAAATTATATTAGGAAAAGCTGGCATCTTTTACAATATTCATCTTCAAGAAAACCTTGATTATTTTTCCAATAATTTACATTTTTGTATACATATCTCAAAAATATCTGGTAATATTCTTTTAATGAAAACTATAATTGAATTAAATAAGTAACATTAGCATGAAGTTATGACATTTTTGTTAGAAAGAATAGTTCTATATGATTTAGATTTAATGAAAAAAATCACATTTCAACAGTTTTGATGCTAACCATTTTTGCTACAACTCAAGCATAGAGAGAACATCAAATGAGCTGACAAACTGGAACCGGCTCTGCTGAAACAGCATTAAAGGTATAAACTCAACACTGTAGTTTCAGGAAGAGGTGAGCTCCCCTGTCAGTTTTGAGTGCAACCACCAGGAGGGGCTCAAGGACCGTCTTCATTCATACACAAGTCTGAATTTCTTGAAAGATCACACTAAATTCAGCTTTTACCTTTTTTCAGGTTTTAAACAATGAGATAGGAAAGCAGCAGAGGTAGAAAAGAAAACTCATTCACCTTCAAGTCCCATCAGTCAGCGAAGGTACTCAGAGAAGGCCATTTCTAAATAATTTCAAATCATCTTGAGGTCCTTTCTGACCAATCTGATTATCTGATGCAGGTACCACTTTTAGGGATACCTCAGTAAAACTTACTACAAAAATCAAATATTGAGCTAATTAACCTGACCGAGTAAAGCCTGTCTGAATATTTTTTATTTTCCCAATAATTAAAAAAAAAAAAAAAATCAGCTTCCTTGGTTTTTAAATTGGTGTTTAAAACCAGCCTCCTTGGTGTTTAAAATTTATTCTGGAATCCTAACATTCCGGAAGAATGTTGCCCCCTGCAACTGTTCTTTAGTACCAGAATATGTTTCAGATTTAGAAAAATCCCGCATGTACAAGTGTCCTACCTTTTCCTTCACCAAACGACCCAACAGTTTTTCATTTGGTGTACTGAAACAAACAAACAAAAAACTCCATAAAATTAGATATCTGAAGATCAAACAGCAATTTATTTAAACAGTTTTAAGTTAATAAGGCACTTCTATTTGAGGTTCTCAAAGGACAAAAAATTTGGACAAAATATATAGTTGTCTATCCTGCTCCTTTTTAAAAAGGTAATTCCAGTGACTTAACAGTAGGTGTTACTCAAAAATATTTAAATAACATGATAAATAGATTTAGCAATCACAGACTCAGAAATTACATGGATAATTTTTCTACAATTATATATAATAAAAGTTCACTATAGCAACATGGGTTACATTCTTGCCATTAAGTAGTTCTACTTTCAGATGGTCTCTTTTTTGTTACTCTTTATTTATTCATTGAGAGAGTCTGCAAGCAGGAAGGGGGCAGAGAGAAAGGAAAGAGAGAATCCTAAACAGACTACATGTTCAATGCAGAGTGACATGGGGCTCAATCTCACGACTGCAAGACCATGACCTGAGCTGAAATCAAGGTTGGACACTCAACCGAATGAACTACCTAGGTGTCCCTGTTACTCTTTATCAAAGGTTTATAAAACAAAAATCAGTATTTCCAAGTCTTTAAAATTTAATAGTGTTATATAAACCAATTAAATTTTTATACCTAAGACGCTGTTACTTTAGCTTCTATCTTATGTAAAAGCAATTGCCAAAATACTTAAGAAAATATTGCTCAGCTTAAAATAATTATAGAATTTATAGTTTCCTTTAAAATGCAATAAAGTTTTGAGCAACATAATGCTTTAAAAAGCACCAAGAAAGACAATAACCACCCTTTGCACTCCTATATCCATATGAATTATTGTGAGGGCTTAAATATTTTAATTTAAGAACTTTGAACAGATATTTTTATAACTTTTGGAGATCTTAATTTTATGCCCTAATCCTGTGTGGGGATGGATTTAGTTTGCTGTCTACCCTCTCTAACACACTGACTTAAAAAGAGAGCTAACATATTAAAGGACAAAATCACAGCCAGAAGTCCCTAAGTTCTTCATATATGGGGGGGGTAGGGACAAAAAATGGTCTGCATATACAAAACTATCAAAACTCAGGCAAACCACATCACACAACATTTTATTTCAGATCACACATTAAACAAAACAGCAACATGTTCTATAACCAAAGTTAATAAAACTAAAGTTTATTACCTGTGTGAAAAAAAATCATCATTCATTAATATACTCATTCTTTCATATCTTAAACCTAATTCCTAAAGTTTAAAAAAAAATCACAAAGTCAAACCTCAGATCTTCTTCATCTCCCATTTCGATTCCAGCTTCCCTAAGCATAGCCAAAGCTTCACAATACTCCAGTCTTAAAGTTGGCTCCAAAAATTTGAATGGCTCACACGGGAATTGTTTATTCACTGTCTGAATTTCAGTTTGAAACCTATTTGTACAACGATGTAGTTAGTAAAAAAATATATGAAGTGTTTTCTCCACAAGAGGTCGCTGTGGCAATACATAAAAATAAGATTTTAGAAAAATTTTTACTAATACTGGTAAAATAAGCAGCATACAGCTTTATTCTTCTACACACTTGATACACGTTTTTGTTTTTTTTTTAAAAAACAAAGAAACATTTTTAATATTTCACATGAGTCATTATACGTGCAATGATGAGGAAAGGGCAATGAGTCGGTTCAGTTGGGATAGCAGCTCCACTGTCAGCCAAGTGCCTTCTCCAGCTGAACCACCCAGCCGCACAGAAGCTTCTAGCTGTCCGGGAAGACCATTCCCTAATGGCCGGCTGACGGAGACCCAAGAGTCTACTGCACATATTATTAGTTCTATGTGTTCCACTGATAACATTTTTTAAAATTCAGAGGTTATAACTGAAAAGGAATTGCTTTTAGAGCAAAGTTGTTTTGTGTACCATTAGCCTCAATACAAAAATTGCCTTGGGGACTTTTAGGTAGGTGTTAAGGATCTATTTATGTCATATAAAATCACTCTTTGAATCATTGAAGCACTAGGAAACAGTGTCATCAAGAAATTCTTTACGTTAAAAGATGAAATTTAAATACTCAAAATATTTTAATACCTTTCTCAGTCTCATCTTGTTTTGTTACCCCAGTGACATTAAAGGATTAAAAACTTTATAACTTACAACAGCTAACACTCTTAGTAATACAAAATACCCATTTCATGAGGCACTGAAAATAACTTTTTAATCCTTTAACAACACTTGTTACATCAAGGGAGACCAAATTAATGAATACTTATCTTCCCCATCCCTATTATACTGTAAGTCTGTGAGTGCCAAGTTCCCATTTTAATAATCACTACAGTATAGTGTTTAGCCTTTAAACAGCAGGCATAAGACAAGTATTTACTGTACTGAATTGTGGAAAATCATATTTTAGTAAGATTTAAAAAGCTATTTTTTAATTAAAAAAATTTTATCTTATTTTTGCTATTTATGGATGAAATGATACCTGGGATTTGTTTCAAAATACTAGGGGGTGGGAGAAATGAGTAAACAAAATGGACATGGTTACAATGGATGAAACTGGGTGATGAGTACATGCGGGTTCATCAGACTAATCTTTCTACTTTGTATCTGTCTTGAGATTTTACATAATTAAGAGAATTGAAAAGTGTGTTTCTATTCCATGAAAACAGTAGAAATCAAAACTTTATATTTCCTGACTAGTGTTAAAGACTTTTTACGGGAACAATATAGCTTAGACACTGATTTATTCAAAACTTTTCTTTAATGTTTTATTTATTTTTGAGAGAAAGAGAGACAGAGTATGAGCTGCGGAAGGGCAGACAGAGAGGGAGACTCAGAATCTGAAGCAGGCTCCAGGCTCTGGGCTGTCAGCAGAGCTTGATGTGGGGCTGGAACTTGTGAACCATGAGGTGATGACCTGAGCTAAAGTCGGATGCCTAACTGACAACCACCCATGCGCCCTCATTTATTCAAATCTTGATGTAAGAAGGGCTAAGACCTCAATAATTGATTTTTATTTATTTTTTATGTTTACTTATTTTTAAGAGAGACAGAGCACAAGCGGGGAAGAAGCAGAAAGAGAGGGAAACACAGGAATGGATGCAGGCTCCAGGCTCCGAGCTGTCAGCACAGAGTCTGATGTGGGGCTCAAACTCATGAACAGTGAGATCATGACCTGAGCTGAAGTTGGAAGCTTAACCAACTGAGCCACCCAGGTGCCCCCCAATAATTGATTTTTAAAACGCCTTTCTTTGCTTTAGATATTAATCCACATTTGCATCTATCAATGGTAATACAAAAATATAACTACCAATATTTTAAAATACATTTGTATATTATTCTTCTATGTGAAATAAGTACTAAGGATAAACATGAGAGGGACATGACATAAACCAGGTAACTCAAACTGACACAGAAGAGGTGCCTGGGTGGCTCAGTAGGTTAAGCATCCGACTTCAACTCAGGTCATGATCTCACGGTCTGGGAGTTTGAGCCCTGCGTTAGGCTCTGTGCTGATAGCTCAGAGCCTGGAGCCTGCTTTCGGTTCTGTGTTAACTTCTCTCTTGGTCCCTCTCCTGCTCATGCTCTGTCTCAAAAATAAAACATTAAAAAAAATTAAAACAAAAACTGACACAGAAACTTAAAATTCCTAAATGACTTAGGGAATATAAGAAGGCGGCTTTCCTTTCTAGGTTGCCACCTTAAGTCTACTTGAAAAAGTCCAGTGATGATGGTGGCCAAATCTGTAATTTGTAAACAAAGATTTGATTAATCCCAAGGGCCCAATTCATGCTTGATCTCTTATTACAGGAACCAAAGTGGAAATTTCATATTCCAATATTAAAGAGAGAAGATTATTAAAACCCCAAATAAACAGGCTTCAGAAACTTTGAGTTATAAATGTGAAAAGAGAATGAGAACAACTCTGCTGCTTCACTGTAGTTCAAAGGGCATTTTATTTTATAAGGAAAGATTAGTTGTCTCATAGATTATCTGAATAAAAACTGCTTTAAATAAATTATATGGAAATGTTTCAGAGAACAAAGGTTTAAAAAAAGGCTGTCTACAATTAGCTAGTCATCAAAGTAACAATGCAATGCAGAGAACCCCTGGAAAATATCAGTGCTTATGCTACAAGATTTTTATAAGATCGATGATTACTTTCTATGTCCCTGAAGTTACTCATTAGACTTGCAATGGAACATAAGTAAGATTTATACTATTTCTGAATCTTTTTTAAGTATCAATGAAACATATCTAAAGACATCAACAGTTAACAGTTAAATCAGCAGTCATCAAATTAAAGTTTCAAATACAGTCCTTTGTCAATTATCAAAGCATTAGATAACTCTATTGTGGCCTACTTAATATTTAAGTATTGTCCCAAGTACAAAGGGAAAAAAAGACTCTTGATCCTCCTACTTGTTTTCTAACTATTTTCTCTGTGTGAAACATCAAGTAAACAACTTTCAATGACCTTTAAGAGGGAAACTATTTGCCAGTTTAGAGGGCGTACCTAATGTGAACATTTTACATAATTCAATTGAGCCTCTTCAACATGTTTAATAATTTTCTGTTAAGATTCTTATCACATTATTATTATTACGACTACTAGTTTAATAATAAACTGTTATAAAGGTAATATAGGTTCTATTTCTTTCAGATACTCGTAAGGAAACATAAAGGGAATGTAACATAAATGTAACAGAAAGAAAAAATATAGTTAGGTTGGTTCACAATCTGGTAAACTTCCCCACCAACATAAGGTTAACTAGGTGAAGTCCAAACTGTCTTGGATCCAGAAGTACTATTTTGAAGTGTACATTCCTTCACTAATTAACTATTGATCATCTAAGTGGCAAGTGCTCCCCCCTCATATATGTTCAATATAAACTTAGTTTTCCATGTTTAAGAATTGCTTTATTTTGAAGAACTCAAACTGATTAGACATTAAGTCCATCTAGGGATATAAAATATTTGTTTTTACCTTTCTTGGAGTCCTCTGAATATTTGTACTAAGGTGTCAGCAATTTCTTCCACAACTTCATGGTAATGGTAATTAAAAGCCATTTCAATGTCCAAACCAACAAATTCAGTTAGATGCCTGTGGGTATTTGAGTCTTCAGCTCTGAATACTGTAACATCAATAAAAGAAACAACTAGTAAATGGTGTTTAAAATTTTGGAAAAATTGGAATTTAAACAAAAATTTATTTACTAGTACTCAAACGGTCTTATTGTCATTATCATTACAGAGTTTTGGAAAGACTTTTGATAAGCCATCTGTTTCTGCATTCTCTTGGACAGCAAGTTCATTACTAACTCTTAAGAGTCACGTAGTAAAAGCTATAACAAATGTAAATTAATAAATGAGGCTCATGAGAATCCTGAGGGAATGCAAGATCCTGAAGTGCCTTCTCAATAATTAAAAATAGGTTCAATAGTGAGTTCTCAATTTTATTAAAACCTGACTCAAACTAAATGAAATTTGTACAAATGCAGTAACATTATATATATTCCAGCCTTTACCTCAGTCCAGCTCTTATTGTTCTCACTGTACTGTCCTCCTTTCCCCGTCTTCCTGACTCTAGCTCTGCTCCATCTTTCACATCATTTTAAGATTAATATTCCTGTAACACATCCTTGCTCAGTAATTAACTACTTACTGATCATCAATGGTTCCCAAATGGTGACTATAATAAAATATAAAATGACAAAAAAAATCTAAAACCTATATGTTTTCATAATTTAATGTTACTCTTTATTTTCCATTTCTTCTTAACACAAGTCTTATCTTTATTTTCTCCCATGCTCTTTACTCATTCTGCTTCCGCTAACTAGAAAATGTAGTCTGTCCTTAAAGCCCACTTCAGTTTGCATTCTCTTTTATGGTAACTCTAGCAAATTCCATCTTTTCCCTCTTTTTACACTATCTATGCTACATAATTAACACCAATCTGCTGATTGTACACAGTACAATCTGATTATTCACTGTGAAAGTCCGTTGATTATTCCCTGAGACTGCAATATGTATGCATGTCTTCTTCTGTCTGGGGAGCAGGGACAATGTTTATTCCCTTGTCACTCAAAACTGGGTCTGCAAATCAGCAGCATCAGCAGTACCTGGGAGCTTGTGAGAACTGCAGAATCTCAAGCCTCCCTCCAGACCTAATGGTCAGAAACTGTATTTTAACAAGATTCTCAAGTGATTCATGCGCACATTAACATTTGAGAAGTGCTGGTTGACTTTTCTTTTATGTACATGTTATCTAGCATAAGCCTATGTATGCAGCAGGCATTCAACAAATTAGTTAATAAATTCAGAAAATTAACACAATTAATGCTCTTGCCAGATTCTCTAACAACAGGCATTTAATTTTTATTTATCAAAAAACTTACATATGTAAAATAACTTGGTAAGTTTTGCAGAATGAAGCAAAGCTGGTTTTTGCTTATAATCAGCTTCATTAAATAATCTGCCACATGATTATGTGATCATGCTTAACTTTTAGCCAATATTTCTTAAAAACCATGTTAACATAATGTAGTAAATATCAGAAATTTCTTGTTAATAATTTCTAATGGACTTTAACATATTCTCAATATTAAGAACAGTACAGACAGTAATAGTAAAACAGAATAGCTCTGAAATAAAATTGGTAGCAAAGTATACAGAGGTTCATTTGTAAGCTTACAACAGTAGTAAGGGGCTATCAAGGAAAATAAAATATGTTATTTGAAAGATTGCAACTACTTGTTCTTTGGTGTTTATGGAGAGTTGAAAAGAGAGTCCAGGGGCACCTGGGTGGCTCAGTTGGTGGGGCATCCAACTTCAGCTCATATCACGATCTCACAGCTTGTGAGTTCAAGCCCTGAACTGGGCTCTGTGCTCACAGCTGAGAGCCTGGAGCCTGCTTTGTATTCTGTGTCTCCCTCTCTCTCTGCCCCTACCCTGCTTGCGCATGATGTCTCTCTCTCTCTCAAAAAAAAAAAAAAAAAAAGCTGAACTTTTGAGAAAAAAAGGAAAGAAAAGAGAGTCAATACAGGAACTAATTCTGTTTTAATTACACTGAAAAAATAAAAAATAATATACTCAGAGAGGGCATACATTACCAAAGCATGCATTTTTAAAGTGAGATATTCCCAAGGCAAACATTTCCTTTAGCTATCTTCTCTAGGAATATCAAATGCTTATGCATCTATTCACATAAACCATGTTCAACTACTTAAGGAACTACCGAGCATACAATTTTTGGGGAGAAATTTCTACCTAAGCACACTGTCATTTTTACCTAAAATCAAGTGGTTTCCAACCCGCCCCCACCCCTCATTTTGTTTTAAAGTTTATCTCTTTTGAGAGAGTGGGATAGAGAGAGGGAGTGTGAGAGAGCTCATCACAAGTGATCATGGGGGAGAGGCAGAACAAGACAGAGAAAGAATCCCAAGTGGGTTCCCGCTGGCTGTCAGGCTGTCATTGTGAAGCCCCACCTGGGAGCTTAACTCAGGAACTATGAGATCATGACCTGAGCTGAAATCAAGAGTCAGATGCTCATCCCATTAAGCCACCTAGGTGTCCCAAGTTTTAAGTCTAGTGTTTATGTAGCCAACATATAAAAAGATTTAAGCTTTCAAAATGTCTATATGTAGAGGCATCTGGGTGGTTCAGTTGGTTGCGCATCCAACTTTGGTTTAGGTCATGATCTGATGGTTCATGGGTTTGGGTCCGCATCAATCTCACTGCCATTTGTGCAAAGCCCACTTCAGATCCTCTGTCCCCCTCTTGCCCCATCCCCTGCTTCTGAGTACTCTCTCTCAAAAATGAAATAAACATTAAAAAACAACAATAAAATGTTTGCATGTAAAATGTGTTCCTAAGACCATACCTATGGTACAATTAATAAATTTTGAGAAAACTATAACCACCAATACCTTACCTGGTCCAATACAGAACACCTTCTCAAAATCTGCACAAATACACATTTGCTTGTACAGCTGTGGGGACTGGGCCAGGTATGCATTATTTTTAAAATATGACACAGTAAATACATTGGCTCCTCCTTCACTGGCAGCTGAAATATAAGTATTTATATTATTATAAACAACTGCAAACTGATCAATGCGAATTTCTAGTAAAAAGAGTTTATATACTTTTGGTTTAAGTACTTCACTAAAAAAAAAAAAAGAACTGGAAAATCAAAAATTGCAGAGAAACCATAGTCTATACATGTCTTATACCTGATTCTAAACAGTTCGTATTTAGATCAGATTTGGCTATCCCTTCATTTTACTTCTTCGGATATATACACTTCCTTTCTATATCAATTTCAAATCTATTAGATACTGTAGCATGACAAAAATTTTTTTTAAAAAGGAAGAGATACTGTTAATGATTTTTCTAAGTATCAAGAATTGCAATGTTCAATTCTTGATTTATAACTAAATGCCATTTATAACATATTTTTTTAGTGTTATTTAAGTAAGTCTAAAAAAAGTAAAATGATTAAAATAAGGTCCCCATGTAAGAATGAGAATTAATGTGATTTTTTAACTAGTAGTATTTAGTAGTCTTACAATGCGGTTTATACAAAACAAAATTGCAATCCCAATTTAGAAAGAAACCTACAGAACGTAAGCAATTTCTAGTGCAACTTACATAATAATCTTGTTTCATGTACTACTGCCTCATTTCATAATCACTACCACATAAGGACTTCTGAAAGGAGATGTTGTATTGTTGGTGTCAGTGGTATGTGACTGCTGCTATATTACACAGTCTTCAAAATATAAAAGTCTCATAGCAATACACCTTCAGGGACAGTCTGGATTCTCAAATTAAAAAAAAAATATTAAGCAGCTTGGGGGAAAGCAAATTTATTTTTAAAAATTAAGAGAAATCTCTTAAAGCATACCTGAGATAATTTTAGGAGTTTGGATCTCCACAAAACCCTTGTTAATTAAAGTTTCTCGGAAAAGATGGCAGATACCAGACTGAAGACGGAAGATTGCCTGACTAGTTGATGTCTAAAAGACAATAATAAAATTTAATGAAATCAATTCGACACATTAACTGAGAGGGAGTATTTTCTAATCAGGTCACCTGTCTGGAAAGTTCACAGAGGAAACAATTCATTCTATGAGAGAAAAGTTAGGTCATAGGAAAATTAGTGTAAGGCTCTATTTTTCATATATGCAAAAATGGCAATTTTGTCCTTTAAGTCTCCAATGTCTCCAACTCTTGACTTTGCTGAGAGTCTATAAGAGATTAGAGAGTAGTTTAGACATAAACTAAGATGCTCAAAAGATTTCAAGTACACAATACTTCCCAACATGTAAAGTCAAAGTAGGGGTTAAAAATGTGAATGCTTACAAAGGCCAGACAAATAACCTAAATGGAATAAATGAATGACACTTTCTGAGTAGTGCAGGGCATAGTAAAGGACATAATTCTCCATCTAGAGTGCTAACTAATGTTGCCATGCCACAGTATTGCCAGATTCACCCCCAACATTTTAAGGAAAGCCATTTACACTTACTGTGCAAATCCCTACTTTACAATGGCAGCAATGAATTTAAATTAAAAAAAAAAAAAAATGCCCAAGAAAAATACTCCTAGGACCAAATTCTACAGGCACAACCAATAACTTGTGTGAATAACTAGCATGGGCAAATAGAGTATGATGTTTAACTATTGTGGCCAAAATTATGAAAAACCTGAGGTTTCTAGGCAGCATCAAGAGGACTTTTGAGTACTGTTATAGCCTTTCTATAGAGACTATAATTTAAAATGGAAAAGGAGGGGCACCTGGGTGGCTCAGTCGGTTAAGCGTCTGACTTTGGCTCAGGTCATGATCTCGCGGTCTATGGGTTTGAGCCCTGCATCTGGGCTCTTAGAGCCTGGAGCCTGTTTCAGATTCTGTGTCTCCCTCTCTTTCTGCCTCTCCCCAGCTTGTGCTCTCTCTCTGTCTCAAAAATAAATAAACAGTTCTATAAACCTAAGCTATTTATTGTTAAAAAAATAAATAAAATGGAGAAAAGGAAGAGGGACAAAAAAAAGCAAATACTCAGGGGAAACATAAGAGTGTATAAAAAAGGTAGACCCATATGACTGCAGAAAAGTTGGAAAGGATTCTTAAGGTGACAAAGAATTTAAGCTTTACGTAGAATGTTTAAGGAGGAAGATGTGGTCAAAACATTAAGAAAGAGAGATGACACTGGTTTTACTACAATGATGAAACCACTGAACTCTTTCACTTGCAACCAAAGCAGAAAGGGAAATAGAAGATGTATGAGATTGCTAAATAACCACTAGGGCCAACTACTTCTTTATTATTAATTCTATGCTCAGACTAAATCCAAAGGATCGAGGCATTAATTACTAATCTCTACCTGGTCATTCTAAAATGTGCATATAATTTCTTTCATAATTCTGTAGTGATATTAATGGTTATGTTTTCACTTACTAACTTGTCTAAAACAGGTTATCACCTGGGAGCAAACCCATTTATATGTTGGCTTCATGTTCCTTTGTCATTTTAAAACAAAGCAGGTTAATATCCTGTGAATCACTGCTCCATGGTCCTTGTTGCCTGCAATTCTTTTTAGGGAAAAGGTCGGTCAGCAGGGTAAATTGTTTTCTGTATTGTCATATGCATAGGCAATTAGTTCTATAAACCTGAGACATGTATGGTATCCCTCCCTCCTCTTGATTTCGGCACAATCATGTCACTTAATAAATAAATGAGGCGTACCCTAAGATCAATGACTCTGTTGTCCAATCTTGTATCCTGGTTAACAGTAGCTCTCCCTTCCTAAAAAAGGATGAAAAAATAGATTTTACAAATTTTTAATAACACAAAAACACTTTAAGAAGCCATGTTTACTTTTAAGTGAGAACAGGTGTGCTTATATGTGTTAATATTATACCCCCAAATCGGGGGTCTGAGAAACAAGCAGCAGGGCCAGAGAGAAGTTATTGTTAAAAGAGAGATGGAAAGAAAAGAAATGTGAGTGAACAGAGGTCAATGCTTTCTTTACATCTACCACTGCCTCAAAGTCTTGCCTTATTACCTGCAACATCAGAAGAGCTAACCACCTGTACCTTCATTGATTCCTGGATTTTACCTGCTAGTTAAAGACTGAAGGGACAGATAAAAGCTGACAGAGTAGTGGGTCTCAAAGTACGTTCTGGGCACCACTGAGTGTCCCAAGGACACTTTGAGGGAGTCCATGAAGTCAAACCTATTTTTCACAATGATACATTTTCACTCTGTACTGAGTTTTTCCAAGGCTTCATGATAATATGCTATCACAACAGAATAAATACAAAGGAAGGTAAGAGAATTTAATTGTTGCCTATTAAGGCAGACATTACAAAGATTTGTAGATATATAAGACAGTGTCATTCCTGACACAAAACTATTTTGTGAAATATTTTTCAAAAAATGTTATTTTTTGTCTTTCATATGAGATTACTAAACATAAACACATGATATTACTGTTACTCTTAATAAATACTAAAAATTTCCTGTGTTAATTTCTAATACTGTAAATATTGACAGATATACCTAAGAATATAAAAGCTTGTGGGGGCAATTACTTTAGGGAGGTAAAGGGATCTTGAGATCAAGAAGTCTGAGAATTGTTGATGTAAGAGTAAATTCAGATAAAAAATGAAGTTCAAATCAATTCACAGGTATCTTCATACAAAAGAAGGACACCAAGCATTCAATGTTTTATAAACTAAACATACAGAGGAAGCACAGTGTTTCAAAAATACAAAAACACAATTTAACCTCTTCTCCTTCCACCTCAGGCCGAACAGCATCATCCAGCTGCAAGGGCAGGCGGGGCTCAGCCAAACTGACCACGTAAATCTGAAAGTGAGAAATTACCAGAAATACCATCAGGCACACAAAACCTGTTATCTTTACTTAAAAAAAAATCTACAGTTGACTTAAATATGAAGCTATGTTTGCATAGATGTTAACTGAAACTCCTTGCTAAAATCAAACAAAGATATACATGTTTTTCCACCTATAAAACGGGAATAATAGTATTTCTTGCCAACCTCCCTCAGTTGTTGGAACAAATGAGGTAACACATATATAAATACTCTGTAGACTCTAATATGCCTACCAAGGTGACAAATAAGTACTAAGTGTGGTCAAGGTGCCTGAGCTTAAGGCCTTGCTTTGTCACATAAAACTTGTTGTTAGGCAAATCATTTAATCTCAGAGCTTCATACCCTACTCTGTAAAAAGATCTGTGGGAAGAATCAAATGGACTCATGAATATGAAAACACTCTGCTCTTTTGAGGGAGCCATTAAACAAATGTGTTATTATCATTGTTAACAGCATTTGGCCATTTCTATTACTAGGACCAAAGTCAACCCAACTCTGAGGTACATCTCCTCCCATTTCTCATTCTTCTTCCAAATATCCCTTCCTTGCTATCTTTCACCAAACAAGTTATATCTCATTTCTTACTGCTCTTCTGGGCTGAGAGCCACCACAGAAGGTATTCCTTTATGGTGTTAAATTCACTCATATTACTTGTACATTTTAGTGCTAAAAACCAGTTGGGTCAAAAGAATGAGCCAGGGTTTCTGGCTACTTTTAAAAATGTTACCCTATTAGTTATTCCCAACTATGCTTGTTAAAGCACAAAAGGGAAACGGATCTTATTTAGTTAATTCAGGAAAGGAAATTATATTCTTCCAGTTGGTAGATCACAGTTAGCACTCAGCTCAGACTCTTCAAGAAAAAGTTTCAGAACACTCCAGTCTTCCTTACAGTAAAATAGATTTGTCACCATGTCTATACTTAAGTCATAGTGTTTCCCTTTGATGAGTTAATAGAAACTTGATTTCCCATGCAAAGTTGGAGAATGGAACAGCTTCCCCTTCTACTTTTATAACCAGCAGAAATTCACTTCATTAGGTTGTGAGCACTCCCCATAACTTCACAGTGCTGGAAGAAACTATGTACTCACTAACTGTTGGCTGAAAAAAATAAATAAGTGATAGGAAAGAGTCAGTGCTTATTATAAAATCCTTTTCAGGATATAATACTTTATACTTTGTGAGATACTTTATAATTATTTCCATTAAGACAAATTTTATAAGATCTTAAGGCTTTATATTTATCATTAGCATTTATTAAGATTGTATTGAATGCTAGATATTTGAATATTTAAATTTTTAAAGTTTATTTTGGGAGAGTGAGCACATGCATGCACTAAGTAGGAGAGGGACAGAGAGGGAGAGGGACAGAGGGAGAGAGAATCCCAAGAGGCTCTGTGCTGTCAGTGCAGAGCCTGACGCAGGGCTCAATCCCACAAACTGAAATCATGACCTAAGCTGAAATCAAGAGTCAGAAGCCTAACTAGCTGAGTCCACCCAGGCGCCCCAGGCAATTAGGATATTTTAGGAGTACATTTACTTGCTCTATTCACTTAAATTTTTAATTAAAGTACTGAAAAAGAAGTATTACTTAGAAGATAGGTTTTGTTTTTTTTTTACTTGGTCAGTATACCCTTAGGTTGGTTTGCCTTTACTAGGGTACAAACTTCTTAGTGGGCTTGGTTTGAAATGAAACTTACACAAAGAGAAGAGAGTCATCTGGCAAGTTAGGTCAGTAATAAATATAAGGTTTTCTAAGTCTTGAAGTGTTCCCATGATGACTCCAGTTAAGTACAACCTAGTACTCCTAAATTAGTGTGTATGTAGGAGTCTATCTTTCTGCATCCATCAGTCTTCTTGACTGCTCTATCTTACATATGCTCACACACAAATACACATACAGGGGTGAGGGTGGTAAGGGATTATTCCTTAAGAAAAATTTAATGATGCCTACTGTAAATACAATCTAGGCCTAGACCTAAGAACTGCAGGTTTAAAACTGAAAGGTTATTTCAAAAGTAGTAAATATGTTTGAGTTCACTTACAGTATTTAAAAAGTCAGTGATACTGAACACTTCCAGTTTTTTTGTCCAAGAAGAAGACAGATGTGAGATAAATCTTGTATGAAAGGAAGTTATTGCTGGAATGTAAGACCAACAGTTTTGCCTCTTTTGATCTCTCTATACTATAAAGTATCAGAAATATGATGACTATAAGGAAATATAAGCATTAGGAGTTAGTATAATTAACCATTAGAAGTATATTACCAGAAGAAAGTTATTATCAGAAGAAAGTTCACAGCAAAGAAAATGCATAATACCTTTTTAGACATTTTTTCCATTTTTATATATTTTTAAATAATTTTTCCCCTGTGTGGTAGCTGGCAAAAATGGCTCCAATAATTCCTCAGGCTCCCGATTACATGCCTTTATTTAAAGATGTTGCCTTTCTTCCCATAAAGAGGTGGGATCCACTTCTCCATCCATTAAATCTAAGTTTTTTCATGTGACTTGCTTTGATCAATGACATATTTAGCAAATGTGATACAAGAGAAGCTTGAAAAGAGCTTGCACACTAGGACTTTCTCCTCTTGCTGCTGGGAACCCTTCTGGCACCATGTCCACAAGACCAGGCTAGTCTGCTGGAAGAACAGAGGCCACACGGAGAGACGTCCCAGAAATATCAGTAGACCCAGTTGTTATGCAGAACAGAGGAGCTGTCCCAAATAGGCTGACCCTAACTGCCTGAAGTACAGAATCATGAGCAAATAAATGCTGTTTTAAGTCACTAAATACTGGGATGGGGTTTGTCATATAACAAAAGCTAACTGATTCAGTAATCAATTTATAAATATCAATATTTTATATCAACTCTAATTAAGAACATATAGACCTGTTTATAAGAACCATTCAAATCTATTTCTGTACACAATTTTATATTTTGAAAAAAGTTACCTTTTGAACATGTAACTCTACATCTTGCTGTGTACAGCTTCCAATTTTTTGATTCACTTTTCTCACAACACCTTCTACATCTACGATGCTCTCTTTGTTGATGCTGTCAAAAGAAAAAATTCTCAACTTTAATCATCTCATCAGAGATGTCAGATTTCATTTGGTGTTTCAACAGTAAAGCCGAATCTATTAAACTCCTCCTTAATACAGTAAGCCACTAGAGATAAAGCCAGTCTATTTAACCTACTTACAATAGCTATTATGTAGCACTCTTTATGAGATTCCTTGAAGAGATGATTTTCTAGATGCCATAATTTAGTTACCATTCGTAAAATACTCTGAACATAAATGGCAACAGGACTAGCACAAAATTGTGAAAAGTAGAAAAAAGTATTTCAATTATTTATTAAGGAACATTTCCTTTCCTACAATTCACAAACATCAGCATTTCCTATAAGGAGAAGCATGGGCTTCAATTAATGCAATTACTGGTATGTAATGGAATTAAATAACAGAAGGTAAACTGAAAAGATTTCAAGGTAATAAAAAGACATTAGATTGCTGCAATTAAGCGTTCATTGCCTATAGTTTCTGAGTACACAATGTCATCGGAATTATGGCAGATAACCTATAGGATTGTGCAATTCCATTTAAGAATGTCTGTATGAAGCTCAATATACATTAAATGAGTCTCCTGTGTAGTTTTATAACAAACTTGAATTCTGAATATAAGACACTCAAATTCCGAAATATGAAATAGATAAAGTAGATTATTAAACTCACCAATTGATTATTTTTTGATCTCTAATACATAAGCAAGGGAGAAAGGGTATAACCCAAAATGGTGGTTCTCGTACAAAATGTACCAGTTTTTCTTTTTGTGTATATTACTGTGTTGAGAGAATGTATCATAATATATTTGTGGAAAAGGATTAAGATTTAACTTTCAGTTCTTGGAGAGTGATGTGAGCACCATGGCAGCTCAACTGGCCAAAACCAGCAATGTAATACTACCAACTAAAACTCTTTGAGTGGTAACTGAAGCTGCAGAAGTAAGGTGAAAAGAGAAGGAAGAAAGAACAATGCAAGATAACTGGGAGAAAGTGGAGTTCCTGACACAGCTGGCATAATAGAAAGGGCAAACATGCATCAGGAAAATCTGTTCCGGACTCCCTGTTTATCTGCTATGTCATAAGCCCTAGAAACCTTTTATATTAACCTTTCATGGCTCAAGTTCCAACCCAGAATCTTGTAAAATGAATGTCAAGAATCTAAACAAAACAAAAGAAAAAAGAGAGAGAAGATTTAACTTTCACAGGAAAACTCTATTTATTCTGATAAGGAATTAGGTCCTTAATAGTTGCAGTGCCATTTGACAAGATTCGAGAAATCCAACAATCCTTATTTCACCCACAAGAATACCACAATCCATTTCAATGAATGTTTGCTCAGGGTTGGAAAAGGATCAAAATGAGACTAATAAGAGAAAAGTGGTGAAGAAAGGAAGAAACATTTTCCTTTCACTTATAATACTGACTAGAATCCTATTATGTCTGATACCAACTGAAACAAACCAACAGCATACCTATCTCTTGCACTCTCGTAAGTCTCCTGCACTAGAAATAGTACCTAATTACTAGCTAAAATCTTGTGTATTGAAGAAACTCAGAATTTATTGTGGCATACTGTTAAAGGGTTTTCTAACACTGGCAATCTAGGGTCATTGGATTTTTCTTCAGTGTTATTTCCATCTACCAGTCACCTTTTCTGTTTGCATGAGTAAACTTGATCCCTGAGTATAAGATTCAGGCTTTATGAGAGTTCTGTTGCTTATCTTACATGTTTCCATGGGGAAGGCTTTCTCTTCCTTACTGATCACATCATGCTTCATCGAGTAATCTGTCCTGCCCCAAGAGAGAGAGCTCTACTCTCCCACATTCCTGTTATGAGCCTGGCACTTTGGGGTCCTCCCCTTGACTCCTTAGTAAGAGGCCTTCCAGTATCAGAAAATCTTCTTCAAGCTAACTCAAGTTAAACGTATCTATTCTCAAGATTGAGCATTAAGCTAATATCCTTTCAGAAAAAAAGATGGGATGTGATCAAACACTCTGCCCTACCTAACGGTCCAATTAAAGAAACAAAATTTTCTTTCTTCCTCAAAAGTACCAGATGGCTTCTTCTATCCAGGACCTGAAACTTGTACCTAAGTCTACCTTTAGTACTTTATTTAATTTGGCAATATTATGTGATAAAATACTTGGAACAGCTAGACAAAAAATAACCACCATTTTAAACATCATTCCCAATACCAAACAACTCATAAAAGGGACTTCTGAAAACCCAACCTAATTTTTAAACTAGGGCCAAAGATAAACTTCTATCACAAATTAGTCTACTGAACCAATTAGAATGAAGGTAGAATTAACCAGATACAGAGGATGGTGATAATTATTTTTTTTTTGGTCTTCCCAATCTCAGTATTATCTCTTTATTATACCTAGCAGCCATATACTGTTAACAGAATAGTCTCTTTATTTAGATAGCAGTGACACCATTCCATGAATTTTTTCAACCTTGGATAATTTAGTTCTAATATCTCTACATCTACATCCATATCTATATCCATCTAACCTTATTTATTTGTAGACATGAATGAATTCAGTAGAAAAACATTAAAATAAAACAGAGTCAAATTTGTAAAAAAGGATAAGACCAGAACTTACTAGTCAGCATTAGTGAAGGGTTATAGGAGGGTTTTAGGTGTATGTATGTGTATAACTAGAGTCAATGCAAGAGGGATAAGAATACTTAAATAAGCTATTGCTAGTAGAAGGGTGATATTCTACTTTTAGAAAAAGTCTAATTTATATGATTTTAACTGATATTGTATGTTAAGATGGCTTAAAACTTTATAGTGTATCTACTATAGTTTGACTGCTATTGTAAAGAGACCCTACTAAGGTTTCAGCTTTACATTCTGAAACTAGTATGCCACTGTACCTTTTTGAAAGAGGATTGTGTCTAACAGACAACTAAAAGCCTTGGGTTTTTAGAGGATATGGTAGGAAAAAAATCCACAGTGGAAAGCAGAGGAACTCCTGGGAACTATTTGATTGTAGAAGAAATGGATGAAGTAAATTAAACACATCTTTCAAAGAGCTTAGTCAGCTATTTTTATTATTATCACCTCTCAACACTCGTTATTACTGTGCTGTTTTGCACCTCTTCTATTTTTCAACCACCCTTTTGACTCTGCTTATAATTAATCACTCTACAAATAAGTTAAATTACTTACAGCCTTGATATTAAAAATATCCTAATAAGGCGATCCTGCTCATGTCATCCACTAGAAACTGCCAACAATCAATTTAATAGTTTACTTCTAACTTGTCTTTAGAAAATAAAATTTTAAGGAGCATCATTGTTTATATCAAGTATTTTATAAAAATACTGAGTTGGCTGTCAAGTTTTTTTTTAAACAAATGATATAATGTATGGATAGCTCAATTATAAAATATGCAACTTCAGAGAAAAACAGTATTCAGGTATCTGAAGGAATAAAATTCCATTTTTCTAATATGACTGCCATACAGTTTACTACTTAGGGCCTCACCAAATACTTTCAGGGGTACTTTCATTACCTGTAGTTGTATCAATCTTGATTGTAAATTTTCATAACTACATTATCTAAAACACAACAAACTAAAGAAAGTCTCATAGAACTATTAGAAGCAGACACAACTATTGTTGAGTTGACTGCTGAAGAATATATATTAAAAAATAAACAGAAACAGGAAAGTGGCAAAGAACTACATTGTAACTTAGCATAGTAATATAGTAATAGCTCATAGTAATGGCTCTGTCATTAAGAAAAACTTAAAAAGGGGGGCGCGTGAGAGTAGCTCAGTCAATTAGGCGTCTGATTCTTGATTTTAGCTCAGGTGATGATCTCAGTTCATAAGATCAAGTCCCATATCAGGCTCTGTGCTGACAGATTCTCTCTCCCAGGGGTTCTCTCTCCCGTTCTCTTTGCCCCTCCTCCCTCACAAACTCTCTCTCTCTCAAAAAAAGAAAAAAAACCTTAAAAAGGAAGAATGTGTAAAAAGAACTTCAAAGATTCTGTTAAGATTGTTAGAACAGTTTCAGTACTTGAAGGATGTAAGCTTCATAGCTTAAAATAATTACCAATGAGTAATGCCTTACTCTTCAATGTTGCCAAAACATTTTTCAAGTTCTTAGCTTATGTCTGTCGTGGGCACTGAATTCTTGTTCTCAGTTCTTTGCTCCCCTATGGTAACAGTATTCATCCACACTTTTGCCATGGCTTCAAGGTAGACAGAAAGTACTTCTTTGTCTTGTGGCTTTGGGTTTGGCCATGATTTGCTTTATTAATAAGCTGTCAGTAGATATGATGCCAGTAAAGGTTTGAAATGCACTTGTGCAGCTCAATTTGCCCTTTAGCATTCCCGCTTTTCTCCATAACATCATGCCTAAAGTAGTTGTTGGTCCAAGGAAATTGAGAAACACAAGGAGGAGACCAGGACACAAACCACAGCTTCAAAACAAGCCTAGATGAGCTGAACTTTTTTAGCTCAACGTAAGAGCAAGAATTCAAGGTTTATTGTTGTATGCTGCTGAGTTTTTAAAGGTTTTTTTTTTTTAATGTTCATTTTGAGAGCGAGCAAGAACATGCAAGTGGGGGAGGGCCCTAGAGAGAAGGGACAGAGGATCCAAAGGGGGCTCTGTGCTGACAGCAGAGAGCCCCAATGCAGGGCTTGAACTTGTGAACCACGAGATCATGACCTGAGTTGGAGTTGGACACTCAACCGACTGAGCCACCCAGGTGCCCCTAAAAATGTTTTTACTGTTGGTAAAGTATACAATACATAAAATCACCATTTTAATCACTGAATTAAAAATTCAGTGGCACCCACCACCATTATCCATTTCTGGAACTTTTTTATTATCATACAACTCTGAACTCATTTAAGTAATCGACACCCCATTTACACCACCCCTCCCTCTAACCATAGCTACTGGTAACCTCTATTCTACTTTCTGTCTCTATGAACTTAACTACTCTAGGTACCTCAGGTATGTGGA